CCTTACCTTGTTAGCCTAGCCTAGCATGGCTAACGTTAATCCCATTGGTTTGGTCTGATCTGGCTAACTGTGCCTGTGTTCTGACAGAGAATATTCTTTTGAACTTTCTCATAATCTACTTTACCCTAGCCTTGAACTAATAGATTCAGGGCACTCATGTAGGATATTATATTAATAAATATTAATGTGTTAATCATTAAGGGACACAGCCACATGAGGTGAGGAAGAGAGATCAACTTGAGGGACACATGGAGACAGATGAAGGAAGTGAGTTCTGACTTGCATAGAAAATAAGTTAGAACATTACCTTATCTAATCCTTACCCCGAATTATTAGTATCAGGGCATTTATGTAGGATATTAATAAATATTAATTATATAATTTAGGGACACAGCATGAGATGAGGGAGAGAGATGAGGGACACATGGAGACAGCAGAAGATGGGGAAAGAGAGACAGGCAGGGACACAGATCATGCAATTGATGAGGGACACATGGAGACAGAAGAAGATCGAGGGACTAAGACAGTAGACATTGAGCCTGTTTAGGAGGGAGGGGTTGAAAGTGGCCAGGAAGAGGATGCCAACACACCACAAAAAGGAAGAAAAAGACAGAGAGATGTTGAAAATTGGAAAAGAAACCAACGTAAAAGGTTAAGAAATTCTGGCCAAGGCTACATTAATTCACATGGCATTCATGTTCCAGGAAGGAAGGTGAGGGAAAAGAACTAAAAAGCAAAAAGAACACGAGAGAACTGTCAATTGAATAGAGTATTGAAAAAAAAAAGAATTGTAATGAAATCAATTGAACAACTCATGAATTGCCAATCAGAAGTGTGTTTAGCAAGTTCAGTGACTTTAATTACAGTCTGTAGTGTTCAGCAGATGCCCAGAATGGAAAGGTGAAAAAAAAATAAAAAAAAATAAAAAAAAATAATGAATGAGTTAAATGAAAAATAATTACTTGTTCAAGTGTGATTCAAGTGTTAATTATTCAATCATTTCCCCTTTTGATCAATTATTTTCTGCATTGTTCAGCAGATACGCCCAATATGTCCATAAAAGACTTGGAAATGTTTGGTGCCAAAAAGGCGTATCTGACGTTTTTGACATATTTTTTTATTTTAAAATGTTTTAGAACATGTTCATTGTGTTAATATGCCATACATTTTTTACTTAAATACTCATTCATGTAAGTATGCCTGTGGTTGCAATGTTTGTGGTTTAAGGGTAATGATACAGGTGATTGAAGTGTGGTCAAAATTTTGTTTTGTCTCTCCTGTAAAGTTTGTCAAAAGCCACTTACGCCCCTCTGGCTCCAAGCCCTCGATATGCCCTATGTTATTTCCATAGGTTATTTCGCAGTATATCCCCCTACTGGACGCATCAGGAACAACAGGGGCTTAAAACAATCAGGGGCGTAAAACTGCCAGGGGTGTATTATGGGGCGTTGCTAGACATTAAGCTCTACTGGGGCACAGGCCCCCCATTGTTTGTCTGAGATAGCAAGCGTAACTAAGGAGGGCGGGGCTTACCGATAGATGAATACATTTTTTTTTTTTTTCAAAAATACCATGCTCGGTAGAGTAACTTAGGGGGGTTCGTGGGCATGCTCCCCCGAGAAAATTTGGATTTCTCGGACCTACATATGTGCATTTTAAGGTGTTTGAATGCCAACAAATTGGATAACAATAGCTTTAAAATATATTTAATTTCTTTTTTTTTTGTGCCATAAAAGGCATGAAAATAGAAAACGGAGAGAAAACTTTCTTGCACATTTGCATTCTTCTACATTACACAATGTTAATAATGAATAATTAGCCTTTATATTTTTCAAGAATTTACAATTACATCATTTCAATAAATCAATAAAGAGTTAATATATACTATATAAAATAAAGAGCATGTATATTCTAAAAGAAAACAAAGTTCCCCAGCCAAGTCCAAACTAAGTTGATTTATTTGTTGAGCATTAAACTGTAGGCTACCGCCTATGCTTCATTTTGGCAAAACGGTCAATCACTTGACTCTGACTCAATTTTACTTTTAAGATTATTTGTATTATTTAGAAACTGTTGTTTCGTCATGTTTTCATAGCCTACCTCGCGTGCCAACACCGGACTTCGGTGTGCTCAGATGTGTGCGCGCTGCTGTTGCTAGGAAACACAGACGCGCGCGGATTTCTGTCGCGTGGGTCAGCTTCTGTTTCGGTTAAACTGCGTTGCTTTTACAAGCATTGATTGATTGGTTTATTACTGCGTTGCAAATGGATAATTTCTATTACCCTATAATATAATTTATATTAAATACACTGACAAATAAAATAAATTGTTAAACTCAAACTTCAGATTTACTGGGGCACAGCAGATTTATACTGGGGCACGTGCCCCAGTAAAATGGGTCTAGCAACGCCCCTATCTGCCGGCTCAGGTCTGCTGCAGCCTCCCCAGAGAAAACCCGCGAAGCGAAGACGACACTGACACCGACAGACAAGAAGGGGCAGGTTAATTTAGAATTTTGACATGAAACAAATGTTCATTTCGCAGTTCTCAGATTCTATCAATTTTATTACGAAATTCAAACAATAAATACCGTTTGGCGCTTATAAATGTGACGTGACCGATCGCTGTAGCGCCTCATTTTAAGCGGCACATGAACCGATCATTACTCTTCACTACTAACTTTAGTTAGTAGTTAATAAACGCGTATGAAAAATAGGTATGTTGAAAGATACAGTACAACTTACCGAAATGTATATGCCTCATACATAATATCGATCAATCAGTGTTTTTTTTAACCGCGGAAAGAGGTCAATAGGCCTAAAACGTTAGAGAACAACACGTCACAACTTAAAGTTGTTAACGTTAACTTACCTCAGGAAAGCCATTTAATGACCATAGCACGTTAGTTGGCTATAATTAGCTTATAGAGGAGTATTTTGCTGAATATGTTATATATATATATATTTATTATATTTTTACTTGTATCATTTAAATATTATAACGTTGTTATTATAATATAAACCCCAATTTATTTAATTTATTTTTGAGTTGTTATTTTTTAACCTTTAATAATACCAGCTGACAGGGTATTTTTACAGCATTAAGTTAGGTAAGATATATTTTTTTTCTTGAGAAAAATTAAAATGTTTCTACTGTACCTACTATTTATCCAAATGAATTGATATTGAATCAAGATCGGAATCAAATCATATAAGAATTGAATTGAATTAAAAAATCGTGAAATTTGTGTCAAGCAATAATAAAAACATTAGCTTACCAGTCATTGTACCATGTAAACATTGTAACATGTTGTCACTAAAATTTTTTTTTTTTTACAAATTCGGTTTAGTTACCAAATGTTTTGACAATCACAATCCACTTATTGTGATGCACAATTCTTACTCCAAGCTAAACTCAAAATTTGTCAGCCCTGCTTGTAACTTACACTTCGGAGAGGATCCGGAGTCTCGGTGACCTCATAACTGGCCATGGCCATATCTGTGTGTGTTCTCGGCAACTTTGGAAAGATGTTAGTTGGTTTATTTCAAGCAATATCTTGCATAATTTCTCAATGAATCCCATTTTGTTTTTTGTTTTTTGTTTTTTTAAGTGGATTCAAATGCCTGGTTTATAATAAATCTAATTATTTTCTTATGTAGAATTTACATTCATAAATGTAAGTTTTCAAATTGTAATCCTTTTTTTTTTTTTTTTTTTTGTATTCTTACACGAGATAAAACATTACTTGATTACAATTTCATCTTCTCTTAAAAGCACCCAGAACAATTTGCACGACCTACAAACGTTTCACCTTAATTAATGTTTACATTTCTTTTAATTTAAGTAATGCCCTCTTTCTTTCTTTCTTTCTTTTCCATTCTCGTTTATTTTACTGTCTAGTTCTGTTTTTGTTTTGTGCTATGGCGTTACTGATATGGGAATCTCTAGAGAGACACCTCACGATTCGATTACATTCAGAGGGCTGCGATGCTAAAACGATTATCAATGCATCTTTTTTGTGTGACTACTTGGTACTTTTAAAGCAAAGTATGTATAATGACCCATACAGAATTTACTTCATATATTAATTTTATTAATAAAACAAATGGAAGTGATTTGGCAAGTCAACTGTAATGTAAACTGTAAGTAAATGAATACAAACTTCAGCATATTCTGAATCTCTAACATAAAATAATAGACTTCCAACCAACATCCTCCTGTTATGTGCAATGAGCAATATAATCCTTCAGTTCAGACAAAAAATAAATAAACATTTTGCTGTAGCAAAATCACAAACAGCTTTCTTACAAAAATAAAGAATTATGTAGGCTACCATCAGCTCTCATACAAAAATAATGCTTGTGGACTTATGCATATTCTGAATAATTAGTAACATACAAAGCTGCTCTTATACACAAATAAATAATAAAATAGTCTAAGACATATGACTTGAAATTGTTGCTGTATACCACAATCAAAAACAGCTTATACAAAAAAAAAAGTTAATGAACATCTGCAGAGAGCACAGTCAAAATGTAACTTTTTGTGACTAGCATTGCACATACACACTGTGACTGTGGGGGGCAGAACAGCAAACCTATGTATAACGTACGTATAACAGATCTATTTACAGCATATTGACAGCATCATGCGTACGCCACAGACTGGCCGGGTACTGCACTTCCGAGCTTCAAAGTTCCACCTTTTGAGTTCCGTCAATATTACGTTATTAGAAATATATATATATATTTTTTTTTTAAATCGATTTTTGACATTTGTGAATCGATTCAGAATCGTCCACGTCCGCATCGCGATGCATCTAAGAATCGATTTTTTCCCCCACCCCTACTTTTGAGTATGTTACTTGGATAACAAAATACATTTATACAACCTATTTTATTTGTGAAGTGAAACACACTATATTCCAAAAGATCAGGGGCTTTTGACAATACATCAGGCATAAGCCCCCAAAGACCCTCCTCTCTGCTGCTTATATGCTATTTTGGTTTGTCTTATTTGCTTAGCATGCAATAATGGCCAGCCATGACCCACTGTATTGTCGGACAGAAGAATGACAGAGAGAGGAAACCATGGAGAAATACCTTCCCAAATATGTTCCGGTCTTTACTCTGCTGGCACTGTCAGGACTTCTATTCCTGCTGTGGAACATCACCTCGTTGGAAGTGAGTAGAAGCCTCATCTTGTGTTTTAGTTTGTTATAATGGTTTGTAAGTACACTACAATATATTGATCAGATTCTGGCTGCTTGCATAAACCTCTAAGACTAGTCTTACAAATTAGACATCAATTTCTTTTCTTTAGGATGGTTCATATTTTTTTAAATCAGTAACATAAAAACATAGATTGGCCTAATTTGATACCGAAAAATAAGACTGACGGCCCCTGACTAACTGCTAGTGGGTCATACTAGAACTCAAGACACTATCTTACCATATTGGCTATGTTTATGCAACTGGCTCAGGATTTAAAAAATAAAAGTTGTAGGGGAGAGGATCTAGTTCAACTAATGTCTAGTTACTGAACAACACATTAGTAACTATCCAGCTTAATTTGCAGTGTGGAAGCACGTAGTAGTTCTAACTACCTAGGTCCTAGAAGAAGATAATACTACAATTTAGCTCTTTGTGGTCACACAAAAGGATTTACGGCAACACAATTTAGTACACAGCAGTGAAGTATAAATAGTTCATTCACTTAATGCCATGTTACAGTTTTGTTTGTGCAGAAACATTACTTTTAAAATAAGGTCTCCATTACTTTTAAAGGCAGGGTAAAAAGCAGGTTTTGTCTAATACATGCATTATTTTAAGTTCCCACGATGATGCACTTATTTTCGAAGGCCAACAATAAGCCAAAACAATTTAATTTTGGCTCTAAACTCTCAAAGACTTTCCCATGCTTCTCTGTATTTAAATTTCACATTAAAGCTTCTGTGATTTTGTCTCCTGCAGAGCTGGAACTGCCAGACAGCATCTACCTTCTATCAGCTTCAAAACAGCATCCAGTCAGTCTTGAAGACCTCTGAATTTCTTCTACCTGTGGAGTTCAACTACTCATTCTGTGCCCACCTCGGCCAGGAGCCCTCCGCAGAGGAAGCCAGGGAGGAGAGCTATCTTCTCAAATCCATCGCCTGGCCAGAGCCATCAATACTAGGACTGCCGTTGCGTCAAAGTAGCGATCCTGCACAGAGCTATTATACTATTCAAGACCCCGGAGAGCTGCAGGTTGGTGGGCAGTTTGTAGTGAAGGTACAGATGCAAAACTTTTTGGGCCAGCCCAAAAAACACGGAGGAGACTTCCTAGTAGCACGACTTCACACACCAGAGCTGGCAGCAGGTGTGGTGGGGCGGGTACAAGACCACAACAATGGAAACTACACTGTATTTTTCCCACTGCTTTGGGCAGGCGTTGTGCAGGTGGAACTGACCATGATTCACTCCAGCGAAGCCGTGATGGTCCTCAGGCGACTGAGAGAGGAGCAATCGGACCGAGTGTTCTTCAAGAGCCTCTTCCGCTCAGGGTACCTCTCTGAGACCACTTTGTGTAATTTGTGTCTGCCACTCAAACAGCAGCCGCTTTGCAACTACACAGACCCACAGACCGGAGAACCCTGGTTCTGTTATAAGCCCAAGATGTTGGACTGTGATACACGGATCAACCACTCAAAAGGGGGGTATAAGAAACACCTTCTCACTGTTTATGAGTCACAGTTCTTCCACAGGTGAGTGAGAAGTTAACTACAGCAATACTGTTTTTGTTTTTTGTTGGCCTATGCCAATATTTACTGTGCTGAGAATGCTGATATATATAAACACTTCAATTTAATGATAAAAGAGCACCTTTTTCCTGCATTCTTCATGAATGACACTTTAATTTTGTTTTGATCTAGTGGAGTAAATATCAAAATCCCAATACATTCTGCAGGGGTGGACAATGTGACTGTTCTACCTGCTTCTAAAGGTAATGTTTCACATGAAATATCATATACACTAGTACCGTTCAAAAGTTCTGTCGGTCAGATTTTTCAAACATATTTTGAAAAAAGTATTTTTTGTACTCAGCAAGTCTGCATTTATTTGAATCAAAACAGTTCAGTCAGGACCACTCTGGCAATAAACAAATTTTTTTTGTTGTGGATTCAGTATTGTCTTTGTCAGTATGGTTCCTTATTGGGGTTCTGCATAGCAGTAAATTAATATAGCTGAACCTGTGATTAACCTACCAAGAAAGTTAATCACAGAACACAGCCATGTGGAATAGCCTAATGGCGCTTTTCCACTGCATAGTGCGGCTCGGTACGGTTCGACTCGGTGCGGAACAGTTCGGCTCGCTTCGCTTTTCCACTGCGTGGTACGACTCGACTCGGTACGGCACAGCTCGGTTTCGCTTTAGCTTGGTTGCTTTTCCACTGCAGTTAGTACTGCTTCAAAGTGGGTGGGACTGATAGTTATAGTTGCGCAACCAACGAGAGGAACGTCTGGACCTCGTCCACTGACAACGATTCAGCCATTTCTTTTTTTGAAGTTTTCATCTTCTTTTTTCAAGCAAGTACTTTAAAAACAAGTGCTACAGTGTTGGCTGTTGTCTACTGGCTATTTAAATCTAGCGGGTTTTAGTGTCTCGTGTCGCAAATACAATGACGCTGGTAGTGACGATTCTGTCGGTTTGACCAATCAGTGATCTGCATCTGCAGTGTTTTCACGTCACATTTTAGTATCGGTACGGTACCTCTTTTACTGTCTATGTACGGTATGCTTTGAACCTCAACAGACCAGGTACCATTTAAAGCGAGCCGTACTGTAACGTTGACTCACGGTGTTCCGGACGGCTGAAAATTTCTACTCGCTGTGTTTCGGACAGGTAGAAGGAGTCATTTCTAATATATAACGCCGCATACATTTTAACAACTATAAGCTGGGTTGGTCGGAAGCGAAAGAGGATGAGGCAAAGATGACACGGATATATATAGATGCAATGACCGTGAAGTGTTTATTTATAGAATTTGCGGGAAACGGTCTAGTGTCCGGTATACCGTGATGTCCGGAATACAGTGAGTCTACGTTACCGTACCATGCAGTGGAAATGCGCCATAAGTGAGCCGTACCGTACCATGCAGTGGAAAAGCGCCAATACAGTATACCCTCCCACACAACAGGGAGTTTAAACACAAAGTTACATCCAAGGACTTGACAACATAATTAACCAGTTTACGTTCTCATCTTCATTTTTTTATTCTAAAATGTCTTCTGCTCAGTTTGGAATAAATCAACATTTCCTCATTGTCAATTCTTTCTTTCCTTTATTAAACCTTAATATTTCTGTCTCCTTCCAGTACGAACCAAAGGGAAGCACCTTAAATTCACTCCTTCCGGTTACTACTACCAGGGATCATGGAAGCCGTTGAGTGGTGTCGTCATGCGTCAGTTTAATGGCTCTTCAGTCATAACCCAGTGTCTTAGAGGGAAAATGGTGTACATGTATGGAGACTCCACTGTGCGACAGTGGTACGAGTATCTCATTGCCCATGTTCCAGGTCTGTAATATTTTTGGAAATCTTTTTAAAGGTGATTTTTGTGGTTTTGATCACATCTTCAAATTTTCTTGAGCCAACCCAATGTCAACAAACCAGAGCACACAAATATTATTGGCTGTCAGTGATACAAATTTTACACACCTTTCTGCTGAAAATTGACGTTTTGGATACAAAATAGGTCATTTGTGTAGATCTGATAAATTTTTCAAATTGGGGGTGGGGGTCTGTGAGGATTGATCCAGGTGTTTTGAGTTGTCAAAAAAAAGAAGCAAAAAACAAGAGCTCATAGATTCAGTGCTTAAAATACTGTGTGCCTTTACGTGTAAGCGGCTCATGATCCAGTGTTTTAAATGTCTCAGAGCTATACATGCCACTCCACACAAGCGTCATCTTTGCAAGCGCTGTGAGTTTGGGTTGCCTATAATGTGCATTTAAAAAACGCAATATACAACAACCATCTTTCCAAATTTGTAATGAGAATAATTTATAAATGTGTTTTCAACAAAAGAGAAGCTTTAAGGTTTTCTTGTGTTTTATGCTAAAATAAAAGCTCTCTATGGTTTAAGTTTGAAAGCAAAGAAATTAAGACAGCCATGAATATTAGTATTAGCATTTTACTGTTATTCTGTATAATAATAATAATATTGTTATTAAATATACTTTATATTTCATTTACATTACAATATAATTATTACTATTGTAATACATTTCTTAATGGTTTGTTAAACTTTTATATAGCATAAAATATAAATATTTTAATAATAATTACTATTATCATTATATTTTTATTTTATTCATAATAAATATAAACAAAATATTTTCATATTATTATTATAGTATAGACATAAAAACAACAGTGTAAATGTTTCCTGAGACAACTGGGGCCTATACCATGAAGCCGGTTTAGGTGGCTAGCCGGCTATGTTTCAGCTTAGTTTCCGCCAACCCTGGGTTTTAGGTACTATGAAAGTAGCTCGGCTTTAATGGGTGTTCGTTGCCATGGTACCTTACGCTGCACGGCTAACCTGCTCCGGGGCAGGTTAAGTTCTGGATTCGAGATCTCAGACTGAAGTTTGACCAATCAGCTGTGAGCAAAGAAACATATAGGTGACGTAACTAATTCCCAGTGTTTGTTGCAATGGCTTTACATTTTCTTTCAAATCCTGTGGACATCTCAGCGCAAATTGTTAGACGAGCACATCGTAGAGAAAGAGTTTTTAGCCGGACAAAATCCCCTTGCCTTTTCTGATAGTGTATGAAAGATACAGATTTTCTGCGGAAGGAATATCTTATCTTTGCGAACTTCTTGAGCCGCACATAAATAATTTAACACATCGAATTCATGCACTTACTGTACCCTAAATGGTATTGCGTTGCGTTTTTTTGCAAGTGATAGCCTACATACTTGCACGATCGGTGATGCACAGAATCTAGGGGAAAACACGGTTTGTCGAACCATTCGCAAGGTGGTCCTCGCTCTGCAGGAGTACATTAATAGTTTAATGTTCCCCAGACATTTATTGACCATGTCCATAAGAGAGGGTTTTTATAAAATTGCCGGTAAAATATATTGATTGGGTGACATCACGTTTTTTTTTTTGTTTTTTTTAAAGCAAATTTCACAAATGTACTATATAATACAGTACATGTTAAGCATTATTTTAATCTTATGATAGGATTCTAGAGTCATTGGAGCAATAGCCTGCACACATGGTGCAGTCTAGCTCTATAGGCTCCTTTAGTGTGCAGTCTAGCTCCATAGGCTCCTTTAGTGTGCAGTCTAGCTCCATAGGCTCCTTTAGTGTGCAGTCTAGCTCCATAGGCTCCTTTAGTGTGCAGTCTAGCTCCATAGGCTCCTTTAGTGTGCAGTCTAGCTCCATAGGCTCCTTTAGTGTGCAGTCTAGCTCCATAGGCTCCTTTAGTGTGCAGTCTAGCTCCATAGGCTCCTTTAGTGTGCAGTCTAGCTCCCTAGGCTCCTTTAGTGTGCAGTCTAGCTCTATAGGCTCCTTTAGTGTGCAGTCTAGCTCCATAGGCTCCTTTAGTGTGCAGTCTAGCTCCATAGGCTCCTTTAGTGTGCAGTCTAGCTCCATAGGCTCCTTTAGTGTGCAGTCTAGCTCCCTAGGCTCCTTTAGTGTGCAGTCTAGCTCTATAGGCTCCTTTAGTGTGCAGTCTAGCTCCAGCTCCTTTTGTAAAGGGCCCTGACTGAGTCTGTTTCCACCTGAAACATAATTCCACCACAAACATGATCATTACAAGTTTTTGGGAGGCTAATCAACTCACAAAAAGTTCCTTGACAAACACCTGTAATATATTTCAAGGGTTTTAAATCCTTACCTTGTTCACATTTCTTTTGAAGCCTGTTGAGGTAGAGGCTTCAGTTTCTGGGACAGGTTGTGAAAAATCCTACAATAAAAGAGATGTGTAACTTGGGCCAGTCCCTGTTTTATGCCACATTCAAATGTTTGCCTTAATAAAAAGGGTTCAAGAAGTGCAGCACGCACATCCAGAGTAATAAAACTGGGTGCTGGACGGACAGATATTTGCAAAAGTAAACAATGAGTCCGCACACCAGAAGATGCTCCTAAGCGAGTTTAATAGTTGCTTACCTCGTGTAACGTTTCGGGCCCAAGCCCTTCATCAGACAATTGTTTACTTTTGCCTTAATAAAAAGCCCAGTGCATTCACCTCAGCAACTGTCCCAGAACACAGACAGAGTGTCTTCATCATTTCCTCCTCCCTGATAAATAAAAGTAGGCCAATATGTTTCTGGTGTTCTGTCTGCTGCATACTGACCTCTGTGTGGGAGACTGTGTGTGTGTGTGTGCGGGCTTCAACAGGGACACTGCATTTCCCTCTACTGCAGAACATACAGTCAGCCATATTTAAAACTTAAAATAGTAATGTATCGCACACGTACCCAGTGTTACTTGCTTGGAGGAGCCGGCACCAGGGTCAGATTGTACAGCACCTGTATTCCCATCCATAATTGGCCGTCCCTTATTCCTATCAGAGCATTCTGGAGGAGTGGCCCTCCACTGGTTTTCTGAATTTCACTCTTTTTCCGGTTTGCCTCAAACAAGTGTTAATAAAAAAATAATAAAAGGTTGTGTGTAAATACTTACTAGGCTACTTTGAATTATATTTTTATATTTTGTCTTTATCAGCTGCCAAGAACGTTTGGAGTTGCATCTAAAAATCAATGAATATTAATCTTTATTATATACATGCACATTTTTTATATATATTATAAAAATATAGGCTATATTTCACACACACATACATTCATAGCCTATATATACATAATTTTACATGAATAAAGAACGTATTTATTTAGCTTACACATTAACACAATCAGCAATCTTTCTCCAACAGTCTTCTCTTGCTTTGGCAGCAGAGACCGTATTGTTTCGAGCTTGTCATACATATTTAAATTCATCGTAATTCTGAATGATTATCTCTTGCTCCTCCGCGGAAAGAAAATATCGCTCTCGCTCTATCCATATCGAACGCGATTGGTTGTTCGGTGCCAACGTCACTTTGGTATGTGCACGCGCTCGTGGAGTAATCATAGCTTAAGATCAAAGCCTGAGTTGACAGAGAAAGTTGATGAGCTGCGTCATGGTACCAATAAAGCCTGATTGCATCGGTTTGGTTTTGTCAACTCAAAACTAATCCTGTAACTCCGAGTTTGTTCAGCTACCTTCATGGTACAGGCCCCTGAAGTACAGAGATTTGTTTGTGGTCTGTGGTGAGTTCCTCATCCTAAATAAGTATTTTAAACATTTTCTTTTTGGGTGGACATCAATCTTTTGTCTTTTCCTGATTCATATCTACATCTCACCCCCTTTTTTTCCTCAACATTATAGAGCTTAAAGAATTCAACTTTCATAGCCCGAAGAATGTTGGCCCGTACATGGCAGTCGACAGCAACCACAACACACTGTTGAGATACCGCTGCCACGGGCCGCCGATCCGCTTCACATCCGTGTTCTCGGCTGAGATGCACTATATCTCAAATGAGCTGGACGGCTTACGAGGGGGCTCGGACACGGTGGTCGTGATTAGCATCTGGTCACATTTCAGCACTTTCCCAGTGCAGGTTTACATACGGCGCCTGCGCCACATCCGCAGGGCGGTGATCCGACTGCTGAACCGAGAACCATCGACTACGGTTCTGATTCGCACAGCCAATCTCCAGAAACTGGACCCGGAGTCCAGCATGTTCAACAGCGACTGGTACTCTCAACAGCTTGACGCAGTGCTCCGAGCCATGTTTAAAGGTCTGAACGTCCAGTTGGTGGACGCCTGGGAGATGACACTGGCCCACCACCACCCTCATCAGCTACACCCTCCACCTGACATTATATCAAACATGCTGAACTTTGTCCTTTCCCACATCTGCCCAGTAAGGAGAAAGAGAAGGCAGGGCTAATGCAAGGCTTAACCTCTCTAGCAGAATTTGAGGAATATTTATTTTAAGTTGTATTTTTAGCCTTTTTAGAGAGGGGGACAGGATCAGCGCTGGGAATTGAACTCGGGTCACCAGAGGTGCAGTTGCACTATATGGCGGAGCGTTGCCCATGAGGATAACGGTTCTGACATTTGTGGGCAATCTTGAGGAACTGGTGAGAGTACTACTCTTCCAAACCTCTGCCTTTGGGATCAGCGCTTTTGCTATCTATTCAGCCATTATTTGCTATCTGTTTGGGCTTGCAAATGTTCATAATGATTTTGTTGATTAGAAATACAAAAGCAAACAGTTAATGTAGCCCTTTATACTTTAATGGCAATATTCGGAGGTATGCAGAATCCGTTAAAAATTAAGAATTCAAATATTTATGTATATATCAGTTTGTAAATAACATTTAGGGAAATAAGTTGACATAATTACAGAAGGTATATAAGAGTATTATAAACTATGAGTGCAAGAACATCTGTTTTTGTGCCTTGGTAAACTGTGATTGTATTAGCTGGTCATAATCTGTCTGTCCAGCTGACGTAAATGCCATACGTCACGTGATTGGAATTTGACACAAAGTATGAAGAGCATGCAGGCCTGGCAATGGGTTTCCAATGTCATCCAGAGATGCAGTAGTCAACATTTGAAGTGGACCAAAACCTTTCATCCAAGTTATTTAGGTTTAGGACAACTTTGATGAACTTTTTCGATCCACTTCAAATGTTGACTACTGTATATAAATGAAATTATACTTTGACCCCTATCTAAGTGTACATTTAACCATTTTGTTCAGTTTAATATTTATTTTGCCCGTCATGCCTTTGAGAAACATTAATATATTTCTCCCAATCTGCATTTACCTCTGAATGATCCAAAAATGTATATAGTTATATCATGTTGTCTGTCTGTTGTATTTTATGTATCCAAGTATGATTATTCAGATTTTTTTTTTTTTTTGGAAGAGTTGTTTACAGTCTGTTAATGTGCCTTATTTAACACTTCCATTTTTATGTTATTTACCGCTGAAAAAATATGAATCTCTGAGCCTACTATTAAAGGGTGACATAACATGACAAGTCGGCATGAAAAAGAAGTTCTTATAATCTTTTCTTCCCTATTGTGATGTATAAGTAAAATAGCGTCACTAATGAGAAAAAAAAATGTAGGGCAGGACTTGATTTTGTCCATCTGGAATTGATTGAATTATTTGCTATTGCTGCGATCTCATGTGAGTGACAGGTTGCTGAAGGGGACAGGTTATTTTCCCACCCTCTCACTGGTGAACACGTCATCAGAGCAGAGATGCCGTTGCAAGTGAGAGAGAAAATTATTTTGATTAAGTATTGAAGCTCTTAACATTCCTCATCCATCATCCAGTGTTGCTCATGACTGAACAAAATAAATTCCTGTTGAATAAAACATATGTTGAATAATCTTTGGCACTGCAGATTAGTAATTATTTTACTAATAAGTAAAAAATATTTACTCATGTAGAGGCTAATCTCCCATTGTGGACTGTTCTTTATAAAAATTGTTTTAATGGATGTCAATCCATCAAGGAAACATTAGGGTTAACCCTAACCGAAACTTAGCATAGAGGAAGTTTGAGAAACGTGGGAAAAAATGTAACTGGCTATTTGAGAAGTGAGAGTTGTACATGTGGATAAGAAGTCTAAATTATTGAGAGGCTGCTCACTGCAGAGTCATGGGTGGAGTGTGAAGTCCAGCTCCCCTTATCTGAATGTAATTTGGGCCTAATGGGTGGAGCTAGAATATCAAACCACCAAGTGGTGCTCACTGCAGTCAAATGATGTCCAGCTTTTCCTCTCTGGACATCTAGCGAGGAGGAGCTAGACGTAAGCTCCACCAATTTGCTCTACAGTGAGCAGCCACACCATAACTCTATCCCTCAGGCCATTAGACATCCAGAGAGGTTGAGCTGGACATCAGTCCAAAGCCTAGGACCAAGACGCCAGCTCAATCTCATAAACTAAACCCATTTGGTTTTTTTAAGTGTTTATTTAAGTCACTGTTCCTTTAAAATCCTGAATTACTGAAAATAGAATTCCATAGTCGAGCATTACTAATAATAAGCAGAGCCTATTCCAAAATGAGGAGAAACGTTAACAACAATTCCACATGCTGCACAAATAGCTCGCTTCTCTGGTGGACACTTAAATAAACAGATATGCTCAATCTAACAATTTCCAGTATTCATTGCATGACATTTATATGTTACATGATGACAATTATATGTTTAAAATGAGACAAACTTTGGTGTAGACAACAGGAGAAACTTGTGTAAAAAAAAAAAAAAAAAATCCATTGCAAAATAACTACATTCACACAGCAGCTCACTAGATAACTACTTTACCTACCTGAAAAAAATCCCTTCACATACAAACTTTCAACCCCGGCAGTCTGTCATTTCCCAGTGTCTCAAAAAAAGTCTCTCCCTACACCTACACTGACATTTGCATTTGCGGGAGTACTAAATAGTTGGAGCGGATAACTGTTTAGAGATAAATGAAAGCTGACAGAACAATGATGAAGAACTAATATACTGGAGAGGAGGACCACTGAGAAACAAGCCTGATTAAGTGGGAAAAAGCTTGCAACTTCTTTAAACAGAGCTGCATTTTTTCCTTTTGAACTGAGCCACTGATCTAAAGACATTTTGAGTTTGAATGAACACTGTATTCTTTTATCTCTTTTAGCCCACAGCGGATACAGCTCATCTCGTGCCAAATCAGTGGGAACAGCTAGAGTTTTAGGATTGGGTGGCCTGGAGCTGGAGTGTATTATCGTCATGATTATGAATTGAGAAATAAGGCATGTGACTGATACAAGTATATCCCTTTAGAGAGGTTGATGGTCAAATAATCTACACGTTCTGAACCTTCATGGCATCCTTGGGCCAGCTGTATGAATCCAGAGTGAACGAGTCATAGTCAGCGTTATAGACATGGGATAAAACAAAGGCCTCTTTATCTTTGGGTTCAGGGTACGAAGAGGCAATGCCCTGCTGGTAGGCATAGTCCACAATCTAAAGAGAAAAAAAAGAGTTTGGGAGGAAAAAATAAAACTGAGTGAACAAAATTATTGCTTTACTGCAGAGTACAGTAACAGATTTTCTCAGTTTTGCAATTAAAACTTATGCAAAGACAAAATCCATCCATTTGTGATAACTTTGTTATTTTTAAGAAATATAACAAATGTTTGCAAACTTCATGCCATCAAATCTTTGGTAAACAATTAGCAGTTTTGCTTGAAGCTGATTTTTGTTGAGGGGAAGTTTACTCTGTTGCATGCTAGTGTATTATTGTGGTTACTACAATGTATGTGTGTGTGATCATAAATTTAGATTATGCACCGAATTCAGCTCACTGGCATTAGTGCTAACATCTGAAAAAGCTTACCAAGGCTGCATTTATTTGGATAAAAATACAGTAAACAGTAATATTGTAAAATATTAATACAATTTAAAATAACTTCAATATATTTTTTATATTAGAATTTATTTCTGTGATGGTAAAGCTGAATTTTTTTTTAATACATTTTTTTTCAAGATTCTCTGGTGAATAAAAAAATTCAAAAGTATTTCACTGAAATCTTTTGTAACATTAGTAATACCACTTTTGAATCCTTGCTGAGTAAAAGTAATTTTGTTTTTAAATCAAAACTTACTGACCTTAGTGTACTTTGCTATATTAATAAATCTATTAAATTTAGCAAGATCTCATTCCAGATTTCTGATGGGTGCCAAAATTAATCTCTGAATTTAACACAACAACCACATTGTTCTGTGTGCTAATACATTTTGATTTTGTTTACTAGCACTAGTGCTAACATCTGAAAAAGTAACTGTACAGCACCGATTTACTGTGAAATCTGTCCTGACAGCTCTTACAACCTACTTTGCTATATTAATAAATCTCTTAATTTAGCATGGTCTCATTCCATATTTGTTACGGGTGCCGAAATGTAGAGTTGGCTAATGAGACCTGTTCTTGAAGTAATCATCATCATCATCAACTGCATATGGGAACACTTACTGACCTTAACAGCAATTTTGAAGGACACTTCTCGGATGGTATTCAGAGGAGGGTACAGTCTACCCTCAGCCAGATGCTCCTCAGTAACCATGTCAGATATCGCCTAAAACAGAAATCAAATCGTTCATTTCAGCTTACACATTAAATACATTTGTAATCAATGCATTTTGTACTGAAGCACAGATTCACGTTTACTATTGTTGCGTCTCTTCATGTGCATTTACCTCTGCTGTAGTAAGGAAAATGTCATCTGAGATGTGGCGAACACCACAGGCAATGACTCCCAATGCGACTCCAGGGAACACATAAGCATTGTTTCCCTGGCCAGGGATGAAGCTGCGCCCATCTGCCAAGGTGACCTTTTTAAAGGGGCTTCCGCTGGCAAATATGCCCCTTCCCTGTGATACACACACACACATGCCATTAAAGCATTTGGTCTGAAACTGCTATATGGGATGCTATAATAAGAAACCATTAGTTAACATCCCTCTCACCAGTTTTATTCATTTGATTTCAGAGAAGATTACCTCAGTAAGCGTGTAACACTGCTCTGCTGTGCATTCAGCTTTGCTTGTGGGATTGCTGAGGGCAAAAATAATTGGACGTTCGTTGTAAGTAGCCATGTTCTTGATGATCTTCTCAGTGAAAGCACCAGTTATAGCAGCCACACCTGTATATAGATGGGATAATAAACAAACTTGACATTTTCAAACTGTAAAAGTATTATGCATTTAGCATTATAAACAGAAATACATTGACTTTAGTAAAAATATAAACGTGTATGCCCCCTAATGCCATTGCAATTATTATAGTATAAATAAAAACTATTAAGATTCACCAAGCACCATTATAAGTATAAAACACACATGAGACGGGAGGAATTCCTGCAATCCTCCAGTTTCATAACCTGCTCAGTATTCATTGTCAAATTCTGTAAATAAAACAAACTTATATTTCATTTTTAGAAAAATGTAAAATTTTGCCTTGGCAACTGACTGAAATAAGTTAAAGTACAAAAATTACTAATATAAAATAAATTATTAAATAATTAAAATATATAGAATTAAAATTATAGTTTTATTTTAATTATAAAAGCTAATTCAAAATATTAATAAATGCTATCATAGTATATAAATAATACTAAAATAACACTGGTATAGAACGGGATCAAAGACTCCTTACCAATTATAGCTGTGGGCTTAATAGTTTCCACCACTTCCTCTAGAGTCTTGATGTGCGGATGCTCATGTGCAAATTCTTCCTTTTCATGGTTCAGATGACTTCTCCCCTAAATGGCCAAATGACACAAAATAACAGTTTTGGTATAACGTTTAATTTCGGAAGCATTCAAATGCAGTTTATTGCTGTAATTGATGCATTTGCATTTTCAATTAAGCCTACATACTTTTGTATATTCAGATGTTGAGGAGGAGGAAAAATATAGCTTTAATGAAAGAAATGACAAACAAAGACATGGTGTGGGTTTGATTGTTACCTTGACAATTAGGCCTCTAGAATCCACCATCCAAATCTTCTTGGCAGCCTCAGCATGAGATACACCTTCCTTGGCCATGGCCATTATCAGTAAGTGAGCAATGCCCAAGGCAGCCTGGTCATGTGACAAACACAGACCAACACATCTGATCATCCTGAAATAACTATTTTAAAGGCCTGTTCATACTTTACACCAACAAAGATAACTATAACTATATTAGCGTCCACTCCAGCGGACGATATCGTTCTGTTTATTTTAATCTCGCGCTGCAGTTTTGTCGTTGCTGCTTTAAATGCTTGAGCTCTTAAAGCAGAATGGATTCTGATTGGCTGTCAATGTTTTTATTGTTCATTAGCTGGAAAAAATAATAATTCTGAAAGTGACTCCAGTGATATCTTTTCTCTGTGCCGTTATCATTATAGTTGTGGTGTGCACTGCTATTCTTTATTTAAAACGATTTTTAGAACAACATCCTTATCGTTATAGTTATTGTCCTTGGTGTGAACGGGCCTCAAGCTTGTAAGTGCTTTGTAATGGGTCTTGTATTTGCTATTTCTCAGTAAAATTTTGTATCATCTTTCAGTTGAATGCACATTACCTCTCCTGCTCCCTGAAATACGAACTTGTGGTCAGAGAGTTTGTTCTTTGTGATCTTAAGAGCAGCAAGGATCCCAGCAACAGCAACCGAAGCTGTGCCTGAAAAAGGCGGAGAAAGAGATAAGCAAAAAAATGTTATGGCTCTTGATAAAAGTGACACATTTTCCATTATAATGAATACAAATCATTATAGTAATATGTAATATATTTGATATTACACTGTGCATACTTACCCTGGATATCATCATTAAAGGTGCAATAACGGTTGCGGTATTTATTGAGAATACGAAAGGCATTGCTGTTCGCAAAATCCTCAAACTGAATTAGACAATTCATTCCATACCTGAAACAAAAGATATAAACAAAAAAAAAAATATGGCATGTCTTTACAATCTGGAAGTATTTCACACATATAACCATACCCTCATGGGCAACTCCGGTCCTCGAGGGCCACTGCCCTGCAGAGTTTAGCTCCAACCCTGACAAAAATTTGTTTTTAGTAATCCTGAAAACATTGATTAGCTTGTTCAGGTGTGTTTAATTAGGGTTGGAGCTAAACTCTGCAGGACAGTGGCCCTCGAGGACCGGAGTTGCCCTTCATCGGTTCCCAACAGGGGGGTCGCGGCCCACAAGGGGGCCTCGGCGAGCTCTGTGGGGGGTCACGTCATATTTTGAAAGGTTTGAGCAATGAGCGCATTAATAAAAGTCCTTAACTTTTTTCTGTTCAAAATTTACAAAATGTATATAATGTTCATAAATGAATCCATTTTCCAATCCGTGTTTTTGTCTTATCCTGAACCACTATGTTACTCCTATAATAAGTGTTTACATTGGGACTATTTTACACTGGTTTGGATCGCTGCCGCTGCGGAGTAGCCCAGTACCTGCGTGACTCGTCATAGACGTACACTGGCAGATGTAGTTCCGGCTACAATGTTCTTCCGAAAGACGCATTATTCTGTTAATAAATGCAAGTTTATTATCGCTCGCTATAGCGCCAAAAGCGTAAAAAATAAAGCCTCACATTGATAAAGCCTCACAAATAACATGCAAGTATTGAGGCCCCAGACAATAGTCATTTAGTAATAGCCTATATTCTTTCTCTTTTTTACATACACACCAGTGTGAACATTTTTGTTTTTGCATTTCAAATAGGGCCAATTTATAGGCTTCTCCTAGGTTTACGTTTTTAGATTACAAAGGGCCTACTGATGTTTTTGTTATTGTATTTTCAATATTATAGGCTATTATTTGTACATAAACATACCGTTTGTTTGAAAAAAAAACATATTTTGTCATCATTGCTGCAAGCTTACAAGAGCGATAATATCATTAAATGTGAAGGGGGGGCCTAAAATATTTTCTTGGGAAAAAGGGGGTCTCAGACAAAAAAAGGTTGGGAACCACTTAACTGTTAACTTGAGAACAACCTAACTGAATCATTGAGTCAGTGAGTTGAAAGCACGACTGATTCATGAACAAATCATTCAAACCGGATTTGTGAAAATATCAGCTCAAAACAATGACTTGATCACTTGAACAACATGATGGTGAATAAATGATCTTTCATTTCAGAATTTTAATTTCAAACATACCTGTCAGTGACGGCTTGCATGAACTCATCAATGAGGTCATCGTATTCTTTGCCCCTCACTCTTTTGTGCTTTAAGCCGATGTACAAGGGGTCATCCAAGAGGGTCTGAACAAAAACAAACAGAAATGGGTTAAAAGAAGACAACAGGACAAGCATGTTTGTAAATGAAACCTGTAAACAGAGTACAGTTTTAAAGTATACACTACCATGTTTTATTGAAAGAAATTTTATTCAGCAAGGATCTATTAAATTGATCAAATGACATTTATCCATTTATACAAATGGATGCTTTAAAAAAAATCCAGCGTTGCCATCACAGGAATAAAATGCATTTTAAAACAGATTACAATAGAAAAGTGTTATTTAAATATGAATAATGTTTTACAATATTGCAGTTTTTACTGTATTTTATTTTGATCAAATAAATGCTACCTTTGTGCACATAAGAGACTTAAAAAATCTTGCCGACCCCAAACCTTTCGTTTGACAGTAGTGTAATTATGCTAATCTCATTTACCTGATTATCAGTGCCAACATCTAGCAGCACAGGCAGGCACTGCTGAGGTGGTACTCCTCCACATGCTGTATACAGAGCTAGTTTGCCCACTGGGATGCCCATTCCATAGCCACCCAGGTCTCCTAAGCCCAGGATTCGTTCTCCATCCGTCACAACTATGGCCTATTAATGCACATACAATGAAACGTCCATCTACTGGCACTGAATGACACTTTATCACTCTTTATCACTCTGCACATACCTTAATGTCCTCCTCCGGCCATGAGTTCAGCATGGTGGCAATATGCCCCTTGTCATGGATGGTGATAAACAACCCTCTAGAGAAAAAAAAAAAAAAAAAAAAAAAGTCAAAACCACGTGTTCCTTATATGTTCGTTTCCCCGTTCGTTGGTCTGGCTAAACCAGTCGTTCCAGGTCTAGAGAATGTATAAACCTCACCTTGGTCTTCTGAATGCAAGCCCATACTGTTGGCAGGCCAGGCCCACAGTAGGCGTATAGACAATTGGCATGAATTCTTCAATGTCAGAGGTCAACACACGATAGAAAAGCTTCTCATTCCTGTCCTGCAGAGTCATCAGCAATATGTATCTGTAGAGTTAGAATGGTTAATTTGAGTATGAATTGGAAATGGACCAACAAAAGTATCATCACTGTGCTTTTCATTGGCATGGATCAGGCTGAGTTTATCCTGAAAGTTTCAACGAAGTTTGGTTACTTGTCGAGAGGGTTACTGCGTGTCTCGTAGCTCTTCATGACACGAAGCACTTGGACATCCTGAGAGAGGAAACAGGGAGGAAGAAGGCCGTGGATTCCCAGCTGTAACCTCTCCTCCAGGGTGAACGCCATGCCCTGTTAACAGCACCATAACTTCATTAACAACATGTGACAGCTGCGAATGTAAAAGAAAAATGCACACTCATCCTACAGTTTGGTTGGAATACAAATTATCACCCTGCAAGTGTGTCTGCGCTGGGCAAACTTCCAGCTTAGGGTAGATGCATCACATGTTGGATCTATTTATTTCTGACCAATGGGAAGTAAGCATGGCCACCCTCCCCTGTTAGATTCTCCACTCACTGTTCACGTCTAACAGTTTCCATTTGCCATGGGTTTTAAGTTCTACACTTTTTAATCATACCCATTCCTCATCCTATATCTCATTCTGACTTGAAAGTCTTTGCAAACAGGATACAGAATGCGAAATAAACATTTACATAGACACATTTCTATGACCCACCCAAAAGTGCTTTGCAAAACTCCTGAGTCATATCCTACAACAATCCTGAACTGATTTTAAGAAGCATATTCAGAGCATCCCCTCTTAATGCTGCAAAATGCTTGTTGTTAAGGGCTATAGTCAGACTTTGCCTTCAGATTAAAGATCTCACAATGCCACTTTCATATTTTCTTATCTCTGGGGACTTTAGCATTACTAAATGTTATAAAATCACATCAAAGCACCGGCTGCTGACAATCTAATGCCTGCTTTGTCACGTAGATCACGTTTGCGCCCTAAAGATGCTTACTTTGTTCAAGTGGGGGTTCCTGGTGATATCATAGCCTCGTTTTTTGGTGAAGACTGTGCCCTTGGTGTTCACACCTGTGTGACAGACCCTCACTGTCCCTATGATAGCAGGAGGAAGTGACAGGGGACTGGAGAAAACCCTACACAACGCCAGCACACTCTTGCCCGAGAGAGAGTTCATGATTCCTGCAAAATGAGAGAATTCAGGTTCAGAGAGAATTCTTTTGGAAATTTCATTATGGTATTATCCTTGCTTCCACCCAAAAAAATCAGGGCAGTTCCAATCAACAAGCAGTTAACCAAGTAATCAGTATTTTCAGATTCGAATTAGACTAATCAACCCGTTTTAGTAACTTACTTTTTTTTTTAAAAAGTTAGTTTTTGCAACTGGTCACAGTTCACGCTGGTTTAATAGATGTTTTTTAGCTGGTAGGCCACCTCAGAGCTCAACAAACCAGCTTTTAGATGTTCAAGCTGGTTTTTGTAACGTTAGTTGATCCTCTAATGACTAGCTACTGTACCAAATTAAGATGAGTTTTCCAACAAATTGATTTTACAGTAATACGAATAACTGTCGTAGCAATCATAAACTGTGGTCAATGTGGTATTTTTTTTTTTTTTTTTTTTTTTTTAAATATTTGTAGTATTATTATAAAGGGCTGCCGCGCTGCAAAGAATAAATCACTAACGTTACCGTAATATGCTCGTTACACATTTTGGCAGGTTCAGCAACTTCGTCCTCTACCATTGTAAACAAGGCCTTTAGGTAGAACACATATAGCCACACAAATGCTTTATGATCTGTAGATGTTCACCACGCTTTTTCAGTTGAACAACAGTAATGTTTGAGGCCAAATGCACATTACAGCGAGGCTCAGCATAAGCATTGTTCTGTAAAACATTTGTTTTCAAGCAAAGCCGCGTACCTGAGAACAGCAAGGCCAGCTGCACCTTCTCCTTCACTAGGTTTAATCCAAACGCTGACCTGCTGCTGCTGCTGCCTGTCTCCACTGACCAGCCTTATCTGTAAATGATGTTGGAATCGACTGATAACGATCCAGGTTTGTTTAACATTGACACTTTTGCTTCCCAACGCTCTAGCATTGGGCCCGCCCCCACTTGGGCAGAAGTGTCCAATAGGATGAGGCGATGCGAGTGACGGAGCTGGACGGAGCTATAAACGGAAAATTTGTTGGCTTGTCTTACCGCTCCCCCATCGTTTTGTTTCTTCACTTCAAACCTTTTTTTACAGTCTATGGTTCAAACGTTTGCATATAGAATATGCAGAATAAAAAGACACTTAATCGTGTACGTCGCTCGGAATCGATTCAAACATGATCAACTGAGATGGCACAACATTCAAACTTATACAGGCAAGGCAAGGCAAGTTTATTTATATAGCACATTTCATACACAATGGTTATTCAAAGTGCTTTACATAGGAGAAAATAAAATAATCAAAACAAATCAGAATAAGTAAAAGTTTAGAATAAAAAATAAAATAAAGTACAGTAAAAACAGTCGGACGAACAGTGGTACAGTGCTCATTCAGTAAATGCATAGCTAAACAGATGTGTTTTGAGTCTGGATTTGAATGTGACTACTGTAGGAGCACATCTGATCTCCTCTGGAAGCTGGTTCCAGCTGCGGCTGGCATAATAGCTAAAAGCGGACTCACAATGCTTAGAGTGAACCCTTGGTATTTCTAGCTGATCCTAATGATCTGAGTGATCTGTTGGGTTTATATTCAGTGAGCATATCTGCAATATATTGAGGTCCTAGGCCATTGAATGATTTATATACCAGTAATAATACTTTAAAATCAATCCTAAATGTAACTGGGAGCCAGTGTAAAGACCTGAGGACTGGTGTGATATGTTCATATTTTCTGGTCCTGCTCAGAATCCTGGCAGCAGCGTTCTGTATGAGCTGCAACTGTCTTATGGTCTTTTTAGGAAGGCCAGTGAGGAGTCCATTACAATAATCCACCCTGCTGGTGATGAAAGCATGCACAAGTTTCTCTAAGTCTTGACTGGAAACAAAGCATCTAATTCTTGCAATATTTTTCAAATGATAGTATGCTGATTTAGTATAAATTAAGTTGTATGGTCAATCTTGCACAAACACACAAAATAAATCGCGTATTCTTCGCAGTAGCATACCGGTAATTAGGCATTTTGATATTATTAACAAACAATTTGATTTACAGTGAGAAATGCAAATTTCTGCAAATGGCATTTTGGAATTTGGAAAGTATTCAAAAGATCAAAAACCTCTAGTTTAAAACTTGTAAAAGTAACTTTATTGCTTGCAGCTTACCAACAGTGTCTACGTCAATTCTAAGCAAGACAATCCAAGTACCTTTTTTATATATATATTGAAAACCGTAGGTTATGTTCTTTTGAGTACGTGTTAAAGAATGGCATTGCTCTTCTTTTAAATGCTGCAATAACAATACATATGTAGCCTACTCATACATACTCAAATATAAAAGTGAAATCTTCCCAAGGATTGCATTAGGATAACCGCACCATGAAAGACAATAAACAAAGCAACTAAACCAATATTAAAACTACTCCAGACAAAGACTAACTAAAAGTAAACAGAAATTCTAAATGAACCAAAGAGGCTCTTTTATGTACAACCTTCACTGAAGTGCCATTAATCTTAGAGTCTCATCTGTAAATTGTACTGATCAAATACCGAAAACCTTGCTGTGGTTAATAACTAAACAATGTACAGTGAAAACAGTAAAAACATCAATTTAAAATACATAAAATGTGTTAAAAAAAGAAGAAAAAAAAGAAGAGTATTTACAGTGTATTTACTGTCTTTCAGGGGTCTATTGCAGGCCATCTATGATCACTGGTTAAAGGCAGGGTAGGCAATTTGTTCCAGAGTTAAGTTAAGTTGTTAAGAGTTAAGTTGATTTATGTTCATTATTATTGTAATGTTATGTTTGAGACATGAGGTAGTTTAACACCGTCTCTCATCTCGTGACATATTGCAAACTCTGCTGTATGCGTTCATGTGTTTTGAAGGAGGCATGGCTTTAGAGATGCTCTGAAGTAATGGTGGAATCTTATGCTTTCAAAGCTAGCTTGCTATTGCTAGCCGCTCGGAAAATTGCCTACCCTTCCTTTAATTCTTGTTCTAAAGTGCAACATTAGTCCCAATGACAGTAGTTCAGTGGTCATTCATTTGTAGATAGTGGGTAATGACAGGATCAGGCTGGAAACGAAGGACAAGGACTCAGATCACAACGCTTGTGCCACTGCGAGAGCTCTTATCCTGTAAGAGAAAGATTATTTATGATGAGAAAAACAATAACAATTATTTATATGCACTTTTATTCATTTAGAAGACACTTTTTATAGAAAGTGACTTAAAAATACTAAAAATGTTGTTATATTTTTGCTCAAGTCACATGTCCACTCTTCATGTCAGCAAAGCCAATGGATAGTCTTATATTTTAGAGTTCACCCATAAATGAAACTTCTGTCATCATTTACCCTCATTTCATTCACCTGTATGACTTTCTTTCTTCTGAGGAACACAAAAGATGATATTTTGAAGAAAAGTTTTTTTTCATACAATGAAGGTCAAACAAACTAAGACACTTTTAAAAAATACCTTCTTTTGTGTTAGCAGCAGAAAGTCAGTCATACAGGTTTGGAATAACATCAGGGGAGTAAATGATGACAGAATTTTCCTTTTTAAGTGAACTATCCCTTTAAGTCTGTCCTTTTATTTGTGAGAACAGTATATAAATCACAGCCTCTTAGTGATGAACAAATCACAAATCTACATTCTTACCGAGAAGTGATCGCTCCTCCTGCTGCGACCAGACAAAATGTCAATGGAAGAGTAAGCTGGCGGTTTCTCAGTCAATCTCCCTTGAGATCGCTTTCCCTTTCTATAACTGTCGTCCTCGTCTGAACTCCAGGAGCCCCTAAGCGGTGGAGGCGAATAGCTCCTGTCTCTAGAGTTTGTCGCACGCTCCAACTCCTCCAGCAGCTCCCCTTTACTGCGAACACGTGGATTAGACCTATCTGAACCTCCCCTGCGTCCTGCTGAACCTTGACCTCCACGCCTATCATCCCAGTCCGACTCCTCGCTGTAGCTGCGTGGGATCCCTCTCTGTGAAGATGCTGGCTCCCTCCAGGAATTATCACGATGATGACCATTGCGGTTAGAGATACTGCTGGACTGACTAGATTGCCGGGGTCTTCCACCATCATTGGGCCGTCGAGAGCTTTGTTTCGCTCGGCCCACGATGGGAGGCAGCTGGATGACCCTGCGCTCTACACCTTGGACACCCATCTCGTCCAGGGCTGAGAGCATGCTGGGCGGCCTGGCTGAAAAAGACACAGCTTGTTGTATGGGTTGAGGTGGTGGCCTTACATATTGGGGTTGTGGGGCTGCATATTGATGTTGAAGGTTTTGGTGCGGGACTCCTGTGTAGTGATGTTGAGGTTGGAGCATCGGGACGGCCATATCCATCCCTCTTACTTGGGTCTCCAGAAAATCTAACACCTGGTTATTGCCACGTACACTTCCATTAATGCTGCCATTGGCCTGGTATCCATGCTGAGGTACGAATGGTGGGACAGGTTGAGGGGCATAATTAACCATTGGGGCCATGTGAAGTTTGTGTTTAGATGAAGGTTCAGAAAAAGACCCTGTAGAGAACATTTTATTAGTGTCACTCTATTACTGTTCTTTGATGCATCTACAATGTTATTAGCAGAGATTAATAAAATAAGATAGCAGTTATTAGTAAGAAAGTAAAACTGACCTGAATAAAGTAAAGCGTTCCCCTGAGAAGATGCATTTGAGGCAATGGGGGCATAGATGGGCTGGCCATGGAGCCATGGTACCATTGCTTTTTGAGCGTCACGCATCATTTTGTGGCGCATCATCGCTAAAAAGACAAATTAAGAAATATTTTACTGCATTTAAATACAATAAAACTTTATAGGATGGGCTGTTTAATATTAATAATAATAACTTATCTTATTATTTAAAAGAATACACATACTTATTATCATAGACTACCAGTTGTATAAATATACATGTATATATGTGTGAGTATATATATATATAAAATCAACCAACTAATCAATTATTATGTGGAGTCAGTTATCAGTAGGCATTTATATTAAGAAATTGATAACCAGTAGAATTAGAACACTGTGAATGTATGTAATATGTAACATTGCCTATTGTGATAGATGGACAGACAAAGACACTTCATTGCGGGTGAATACCTTCTTCTGGGCAGCAGCAAGTACGAGGACAGCAGGGACAACGGACATAGCAGCAGCAGTTCTGAGGACAGCACTGGCAGCAGCAGATACAAAGCAGCATGATCAGGAGCAACGCCCCAAGGATGATGAGCAGCACAGTCAGCCAGTCTGGGAGGAAGAGGGCATGTGACCTCAACAGTATCTATAAAAGTTTTTTGGTTAAAAGCAAGTCTTCGGTGTGTTGTATACTTACGATATACAACGAGTCTGATTTCCTTGTCGGAGTCTCCCACAACATCACCCGCTGCGTCGATGGAGCAGAAATACATGCCGTTGTCCCACCACATGACCTCATTGATAACCAGGTCTGCATCTGTTAAACACACATACAAAAACATAAGATTATAATGAATTGTATTGTATTGTATAATGAAACATTGTATAATTAATTGATTATAATGAATTGTATATGTATAATATATATAATTAATATATATATATATATATAAAATAATTCATGCTATAATTTCTCTGCACTCAAAGCGCTTTACATAGAAGGGGGAATCTCCTCAAGCACCACCAATGTGCAGCATCCACCTGGATGATGCGACGGCAGCCATATTGCGCCAGAACGCCCACCACACACCAGCTTATTGGTGGAGAGGAGACAGAGTTATGAAGCCAATGAGTATATAGGGATGATTAGGAGGTCATGTTGGACAGAGGCCACTGGGTAAATTTGGCCAGGATGCCGGGCTTACACCCCTACTCTTTCGAAAGACAACCTGTTATTTTTTGTGACCACAGAGCCGGACCTGGGTTTAACGTCTCACCCGAAGGATGGTGCTTTTTGACAGTATAGTGTCCCCGTCACTATAATGGGGTGTTAGGACCCACACATATGAAGGTAAAAGAGTAGCAAAACTCGAGAGCACGTAGATGTGAATTTGAGAACTTGTACAATAAATATTTATACTTGTCTGCAGCTTCAAATTCAGAATACAGGTTTGTGACTATTGTCTGCGAGTGCAAATTTCAACATTCAACTTTTTTTTTTTTTTCAACTTTTTTTTTTGATTTTTATTTTACAGTTTTTCACATTGGAGCTGTGAGTGTACATTTTAGCGTACAAGTATGAATATTTATTGTACAAGTTCTCAAATTCACATCTACGTGCTCTCAAGTTTTGCTACTCTTTTACCTTCATACACACAGACCACAGGGTAAGCACCTGCTGGCCTCACTAACACCTCTGCTCTTGCAACCTAGATTTCCAAGAAAGTTTTCCATCCAGGTACTGACCAGGCTCAACCCAGCTTAGCTTCAGTGGGCAACCAGTCTTGGGCTACAGGGTGATATGGCTGCTGGCTTTTATATACACTACCGTTCAAAAGTTTGGGGTCGGTACGATTTTAAATACTTTTAAAAGAATTCTCTTCTGCTAACCATGGCTGCGCTTATTTGATTAAAAATACAACAAAAATCAGTTATAGTATTAAATATTATTCCAGTGTAAATCAGCTGTTTTCTGTGTGAATATATAGTAAAGTGTAATTTATTCCTGTGATCAAAGCTGAATTTTCAGCATCACCAGTGTCAGTGTCTTCAGTGTCAAATGATCCTTCACAAATCAGTATAATATGAGGATTTGATGCTCAAGAAACATTTATTATTATTATCAATGTTGAAACAGTTGTTGGTCTGTCAGTTGTACAGTTTTTTTTTTTTTTTTTAGGATTCTTTGATGAATAGGAAGTTCAAAAGACTTTTGTAACATTATAAATGTCTTTACTGTCACTTTCGATCAAATTAATTATTCCTTGATAAATAAAAGTATTGATTTCTTTCCTCCAAAAAATAAAAATAAAATTCTCACTGACCCCAAACTTTTGAACGGTAGTGTGTATATATATATATATATATATATATATTATATGATGTAAATGTAACGTAATTTAAATGTAAAACCAGTAATGTAAAACCACTCCTGTTTAATATTTGATAAATTAATTTCTCTAAATTATTACTTGATCAAAGCCTTACTGTTGCACACAATCTACTACATGGCTTCTACCCTCAAAGTAAGGTACCATTAATCACTATATGGGCTATAAAAGCCTGATGTATCAAATATGCAAACTTCTTTCTTTCTTTATTTTTTAATTTATCTAAAAGTTCAATAAGTTCCATTTTTTAAAAGAGTTTTCTTACTATTATTTAATATATCAGGCTTTACAGGGTTAAAAAAAATTGTTTAGAGTTTTAAGCTCCAGTAGGTCAAGACTCACTGTTGTTTATGGAGATCTTGCGCTCTCGATACTCTGGTCCCAGAGTAGCTTCACCAATGCCTCTTTTCTGAATCACTATGCGGACAGTGCGCTGACTGTCTGGACAATCATTGGCTGGGTCTTGCTTCAGACCCAGAGCTGCTTGATATGCTGAAGAAACAGAAAACCGTACAGGGTCACATCAATCACCACATCACTCTCAACTATTCGGACAATAAAAGCTTTGCACACAACATTTTTGCAGCACTCGAGCCTTCTATATTCAGTTCACCCTCACCAACTGAGTAGTATTCCAGCACTGGATCCAAACAGAAGGACTTGTATCGCCATGTGACCAGGACATCTTGTGCGTTTGCAGAGGTGGAATAGTCACAGCGCAGAGTGACAGAAGCAAACAGCATTGTGTTTCTCTCTGTCTGAGGAACATTAACCTGGATAGACACCAACTCTGGGAGAAGAGGGAGAGAGATCAATAAACATACTGCTTGCATCAGGGTTCCCACAACTTTTTGGGAACGATTTTCCATTATTTTCCCCAGTCATTATTCTTTTTTGTATTATTATTTTACTCACAAAGAACTATTTTTAACCAATGAACTATTTTAGAGCTGAGCATAACAAAAAATAATCGTATAGTATACAATTTGGAGAGATTGCATTCATTTCTGTGACTGCTCCATGGCTGAAAAAAAGCAGTATTTTCATATATAAAAATAATTAAGGTTCAATAAAACATAATATTAAAATATTAGCTGGCATTAAGCTTGTAAATCACGTGATCGGGTTTATCGGCCTGTCATGTTTGCACTTGCTGATCATTAACCTCGCCACTGAATTTACAGAATTTACAGAAAATATTTGAAAATAACCGTGATAGTAAACAGCCCCCAATATTCCAGTTTAACGACTGTTTTCCAGTTTAAGTTATTTTGAATGGCAACTTACCTGTTGGAAATACGCAGAACACGAGCGCAAGCACCTTGAGCTTCAGTGTTTCTTTCATGTTTCTCGGTTACACGGAAGTTTTTTCCTTTACTGTATCTTTCCAGAACACAGCCACATCTTATATTTGAGACTCAATCAAATACAGACAATACAACGACAATCGTCATCACGAGTACATCCAGAAATCTTCTTATTTACCTATATTCTCTCGAGTCAGTGTAAAGTAAACACCTTTGCTCTTTGGTAGTTCAATTACCCTCCCCCATTCCATGATGACGTCACAAACTCCACCCATCAACAGGTGCAAAAACACCAAGTTAGGTCATTATTTTATTCTATTAATGGTGATTCATTAGTGATTATTGTTCAAAATCAAATTCTTGTTTTCCACATTGATATTATTCTTAATATGTGTGTCATCGCTCAAAATGAAAGGCCTGTTTCATCGTTTACTTTATTCGGTAGAATGAAAAAAAATATTTGTTGGTATCATTTTTCACATTTAACCACCAGGGGGCGTAACTTGATAAAAGATTAGACTGTTTTCCCAATGTTTTATTTTTGTAGTAACGAACCAAAAGTATCCTTATCCCTGTAAAACCATGCAGCCAACAGACAAGCCTGTCTAGATGTGGAGGATACCAGCCAACCAGCTCAACCAGCTTAGACTGGGTGATTAAAGGTAAACTAATTCCAGCTCTAAGTTCTGAATAAGCTGCATCAACTACTGTAAAATGCCACACATTTATTATTAATATGGCGATTTGCGTCGTTTTTGTTAACTATAAACTGCCTAAACATCCAGTGAATTTTTAAAAATAATTAATCGTTAATAATAATTAATAAATAACTTTTAGTTTAACTATCAACTATAGCACAATGTATGACTGAGTGTATGAAAATATACTGAGATCTGAACATAAAGTTTGACCACTAAACACCTGTGAGGGCTCGTATCAGATTGTTTCCTGGTATTGTAATCTCATCCTGTAAAGAAACATCCTTTCCTTTACTGTGTCCTGTCTAGTTTCCTGCTTGGCCTTGATTTTGTATTGGTGAGGAAAATGACTTATTTGTTTTCCTGTATGTTGAAGCAAGAGCAAGTGTCCATGCCCTGATATAGATGAAAAGGAACAGGCATATTTTCTCAAGAAATGTTATCTGAAAAAATAAAAATAGTAATAATAATAAAAAATAAATAAAACAGAGAGCAAGTGTTCATAGGACGAAGACAATACCTCACTATTTTGGTGTCCACATCGAATTAAATTTTATACATAAAAAAACATATTAAATTCAAATAAAGTGTCTACTTTCATGTTTTAAATAACTTTTGCGAAAATAAAATGTCAAAATATAGGTGAACTAATGTTCCAAAGTGTAAAAATGTCATTTAGTGTAATGGTTCGCACTTTGATTTTACCACTACGTCTTTAAATAAACATTGAATACCATACATTTGTTTTCTAAGCATTTTCAAATAAGTGTTAAATGACTATGTCTTATTGGGTTTTATTTTAAAATAACCAGGGGAATTTTGTCCCAAGTATGTTGTTTGTTAGAGCATTGTAAAAGGATCAAGAAGCCATTTTGAAATAATAATTAACGATTTTTTACCAATTAACCAGTCAACAGGCTGAGACATTATCAAAAGGCACCCTGAAGATCCTTTGGCACTGCTGAAAAGTTTATTGCTCTTAAATATTTGATAATTTCACATTTTCATTGTGTTAACCTAAACCACTCAAAAAAAAAAAAAAAAAAAAAAAAAAACATTTTTATTCGGTGTATTGCAAATTCTCTCTTACACCACAGTGTCATCCATTACACTGAATGACAGGATCACTGTATAGATGATTTTAGCATCATTGTTATTTAATGGTATTTTTGTATAGTTTTATTTGTGTTGTTGATTTATTTTAGATGCCCATTATCAGAGAGAGTTGTAAAAAGCCAAAAAATAAATGCAGACCCAGTAGCTTGGGCAGCAATTTTAGTAAGAAAATTAGAAAGGTATTGAGGATTGCATTTGTCAGAATAATAGCTTACTAATATTTCTGGAGAGAGTTATTTCTGAAAGTTCAAGAGAGGCCATTTAGGGGATTCTCCACCCAAAACACCATCCTGGTAATGTTATTTATTGGCAAACAGAAAGTATTCATAAATATAGCTGCAAGGAGTAATTTTTGGAGCTAAGCAAGTCAGAAACAAACAAAGTGACAAGCTGAGCATGGAAGGGAGCATCAGAACAGTAGAATAAAATGCTTATTGTTTTTTAACTTTGGCTCATAATTTACTCATGAATATTATTAAAACTAATTTAATGATGCAGACTAATACTAACAACATTGCAATTATAGGAACAATATTCTCTTCCTTTTTGGCAAAATGTCATTAAGAATAACAAACCATGATAATAATTCATCGTAACAGATATATTTATGTAAAAATATACTTATTCTGACCTGAACTTTTTAAAATATACAAAACAATATAAATTGTATTATATTTTAAATGATTTTTACTTCCTTACAAAAACTTATTGCTGACAAGTGGGTAAAACCTAGTGGTTTGAAAGATAGTGGCAGTGTAAAGATATAAAAAATACAATTAATTAGTATTTGGGGGCTGCACTGTGATCCTAAAATAAGTATTTTAATTTGTCATCAAATGATTTTTGTTTGAATAAAAATTTAATATTTTTTGGTATATAAACTATTGTTACACTGAATAACATTTGGTGTCTTCTGTAAATCATGGTAAAAAATGTATGAGTAATTTTCTTTTGTTCAGAAAAATCTAAAAATGAACAGGACACATTGTAATGTATGGCGGAGAAAACAAAATTTAAAGCTGTATTACACTTATTTTTTAATGCTTGAAAACCCCTTTTCGTCTTTGACCCTCATATCCAAATTATTTTAAAACCATGGAATACAAAAAAATGGCACATTTTAAAAAGCACAAACATACATGCTTCCCTTGAGTGTCAGCCAACTGATGAACACTGACACAAATGTAAAGTACAGTGCAAACAAAGGCCATATTGAAATATCAGAGACAGTGTCCCATTACAGTACTGAAGATATACAAAATACAAAGGAATGTTTAGAACACTTGAATATCATCTGAACCATTTTAAAGTCCTTTTTAACATAACTTTAGTGCAGCGGCAGTCTCGAGGACTAATGAAGAAAGTAGGTCATAATTAAGCAATATAGAAAAACAGACACACACACACACACACACACACACAGACACAGAACACAGACGTTCATGCCCGTGACCAGCAAAAGTTCTTAATCTCTTCATGTCTGTGTGATCCTGCATAAAATGTGTCTTGCTGACTGATTGATGCTTAGTGTCTGGGGCATTTCTCTTCAGCTTGATGGTGATGTTATTAGTATGATGTCAGCTCAGTCTGAGGACGTCACACAATTAGAGAGTCTCTGCTTAGATGAGTGGTCTGTTAAAAAACACCAAGAGCCACACATTAGACACCCATTAGCATGGCGCGTTTGCAGGTGCATTGTTAGTGTGCCAGTGTAATGCAGTATTTACAGCCCATTAGAGTTAGTGATGCCATTTATGGCACATTCAGGCAAACAGAACAAACACATAAACCCTGCCTGAGAAATCAAACTTTTTGATGATTGAAAGCAGACTTGCATACATTCTTGTAAAGAATATGATTTACATTTCAGCATACACAAAAAAAACATACTGTACAATTAAAATCATTTCATATTCAGATCTCTCTGAGACACTCTTTGGAAAATAAATGACATAAAAATACAACAACAAAAAAAAATCTAGGCTGCAGTCGATGCAGTCTAATCTATGGAAGTATGTTTCTTCCGATTTAAAAATAGGTAATTGTAATTCGCAAAAGGTAATTGTGAGATAAAATAAGAAATAGTCACATTGTGAGATATAAAGTCATGATTTTTAGATATAGCCTAGTCACAATTGCAAGAAATAAAGTTTTATTTCTATATTCTTTTATTATATACACTACTGTTCAAAAGGTTCGGTAAGATTTTTTTTTGTTTTTGAAAGAAGTCTCTTAGGCTCACCAAGGCTACATTTATTTGATAAAAAAATACGGTGAAAACTGTAATATTGTGAAATATTATTGCAATTAAAAATAACTATTTTCTATTTTAATATATTTGAAAATGTAATTTATTCCTGAGATGGCAAAGCTGAATTTTCAGCAGCCATTACTCACAGTTTTAAATTACCGGTAAAAAGAACTGAAGTCTGAAATAGGAAATTCTAAAAACAGGTAGCTACAAAATAAACATTACAATTTTACCCGTCAGTCTAGTAGCTCCCTAAATTCTGAAGCTGCAAGAACAAGTCTTATATGTAAATGTAATTGTTGCCCTTTTATTGCAGGGAATGGGATTGAGAGATTTTGCAAGCTGGATTTGACCTTGCATAACTCAAAAGGCCACAGTTCTGAGAAGTGCATGATTTTCTGAAACTGATGTTGGGACTCTTAGAATTTTCAGATTATGTATATAAATGAATCATTCATGTCTGGTGAGCTGAGATGTTTTTTTGACAAAATACAGCTTGTTTTCAAGGATAAAACACTTATTTGTGCTCTTTAACATTTGGGACTTTACATTTCATATTAATGGAATCTCATACATCTCTTCTTTTTAGGCTTGGAGAAAGTTTATTCCACCCTTTAATGTACAGAAACCAGGGCAGACCGTTATAAGTAACTCACCAGTTTCCTGGGTTTGTCCCTGTCCTCCCTGCGCTCCTGTAGCGTATGGGACAGTCCTTGAGCCGGACGCGTGTATGAAAAAGGGCGCATGCCGGGATCAGCAGTCCTGTACCGATCTCTCCCTAAAAGCTCTTCAGTTCTAAACCTCTCCACCTCCCTCTCAGAGTACGGTGGTAAAGAGTCATCCTCCTCGGGGCGGTTGCTAGGTGATCTGCTTTGGTAACAGTCACTGCTCTTCTTGGAACTGCCTTTTGAAGGAGTGTCGCTGTCATCATCAGCCCTCCCACCACGCTCTCCGTGGCCCCTAGCCTTGCGCTCCAGTAGAGTGTTCAGGTAGGTATCGTCATACGACCTCTGGCGAGCAACATAGCGCTCACTGCCGCCTGCGTCACGTCTTTTTGGTGGGGAAGGTGGCGAGCCTCGACGACGCCAGTTGTTATCGTCATCCT